GAAGGGGATGGATTCTGGCAGCATGTGTTTCCTCGGCATCCTGGACTTCCGTTTTGTATGGACACTCATTCACACTTCAAATCACTTGTCAAGGACTCCACCACATTGTACCATTGTACTACACTCTGGAATGGGATTAGTTCTGTGTCCCCCAAACAGTAGCATAGTAAATGCTCAGTGCCACTTGCTAAACTGAGCTGGAGACATGCCTCCCGATTCCAAGGAGTTCACAGTACAATGTGGGAAACAAGTCCAGAAATAACTGTAACATGAGACATGATAGCAGGTCCACAAATGAAGTCTGATGAGTGCCACAGGAACACTAAGCAAAGGGAGACGGATCCCTCCTGGGGGAGACCAGGGGTGGCCTCACTGGGGAAATGGAGTTTCATCTGGGGATTGAAGGAGGAATAGAATTTCGAAAGGTAACAAGATATATGGAGCAGAAAAAGGGCACTTTGCTTTGAAGGACAGCATGAACAAAAACCCAAGAGTGGAAAAGGGCAAAGCACGTCTAGGGAGTGGAAAGGAAGGTTAGTGTCACTGTCCAGGCAGGAGGGCCTTGGTGTCTGGACAGGCATTTTACACGCACTGTGATTCATTCTGAGGCTTCACGGCAGCTCTAATGTTGGTGCTTTTACCACTTTCACTTTTTAGTGTTTTTAAGAGGTGGGGTTTTGCCATGCTGCAATGGCTATTCACAGGCATGATCACTGCACACTGTAGCCTCGTACTCCCAGGCTCAAGCTATCATCCAGCCTCAGCCTCCTGAGTAGTTTGAACCATAGGCACATGCCCACTGTGTCCGGCATTACTTTCATTATACAGATGAGGAAACAGGCTCAGAAAAGTTAAATAATCTGCCCAATGTCATATAACTAGTAAGAGTTCATGAGGGATGGGGTAGTGGGAGAAGAGGCTGGAAAACAGACTGGGAACAGACTGAAAAGCCTTAAATGCCAATAATAGGGAATTAGACTTTATTTTACAAGCCAAGCAAAGGCCTGATGATTTCTGAGCAGGGGAGTGGCTCCTTCAGGAAAAGAATGATGGAGGCAGCGCAGTGAACAGAAGCCCAGTGGGCAGACTGTGTGCCACAAACTCCAGGAGGTGCCATTCACAGAAACTAGGGAAATGGCACCTTGTGGGGCTGTGCAACACAGGGGCCTTGATTGCTACCCTCTAAGCAACTACTTGACCTAGAATAGTAGTAGTAGCAATAGAAACAGAGAGGAAAGGAGGGAATAAATGTGTGAATAAACAGTATTTAATATGAAATTAGATACTAGGGATTAAAAGCCAGGGTGGAATTAAAGATGATGCTCTAGTTGCTACTATTATTGTCACTGAATACTTTTTTTTTTTTTTTTTTTTTGACAGAGTCTCGCCCAGGGCTAAAGTACAGTAGCTCGATCTTGGCTCACTGCAACCTCCACCTCCCAGGTTCAACCGATTCTCCTGCTTCAGCCTCCTGAGTAGCTGGGAGTACAGGCGCCCGCCACCACGCCTGGCTAATTTTTGTATTTTTAGTGGAGATGGGGCTTCATCATGTTGGCCAGGCTGGTCTTGAACTCCTGACCTCAAGTGATCTGCTGGCCTTGACCTCCCAAAGTGCTGGGATTACAGGCGCGAGCCACCGCGCCTGGCCACTGAATACATGTCTGCTGAACACTAACTCAGCCTGCTGAGGCTAAGAAGTAAAAGGAAGCATGGAGGGGACCAAAAAAAGAATGGTGGTGAGGAAGCCCAGGAGGGTGGTCTGGTGAACAGAGAGAAGACAAGGGGTCATTCACTGATGCTAAAGTGAAGCTGAAGGAAGGTGGCTTTAGGGCCCAAAGACAAAAGGAGGTCAAATACGACACAGACTGAGTTTTGATAAACATAAGTCATCGGTGATTTTCCCTTTTTTTTAAGATGGAGTCTTGCTCTGTTGCCCAGGCTGGAGTGTGGTGGCGCAATCTTGGCTCACTGCAACCTCCGCCTCCTGGGTTCAAAAGATTCTCCTGCCTCAGTCTCCCAAGTAGTGGGGACTACAGGCAACCGCCACCACACCCGGCTAACTTTTGTATTTTTAGTAGAGATGCCGTTTCACCATGTTGACCAGGCTGGTCTCGAACTCCTCACCTCAAATGATCCACCCACCATGGCCTCCCAAAATGTTGGCATTATAGGCGTAAGCCACCGTGCCTGGCCATGTTGGTGATTTTTGACACAACAGTTTCCGTAACTGCTGGGTTGAGAGTCAAGAAATGAAGGTAGCCGGGCGCGGTGGCTCAAGCCTGTAATCCCAGCACTTTGGGAGGCCGAGATGGGCAGATCACGAGGTCAGGAGATCGAGACCATCCTGGCTAACACGGTGAAACCCCGTCTCTACTAAAAAAATACAAAAAAACTAGCCGGGCGAGGCAGCGGGCGCCTGTAGTCCCAGCTACTCGGGAGGCTGAGGCAGGAGAATGGCGTGAACCCAGGAGGCGGAGCTTGCAGGGAGCCGAGATCCCGCCACTGCACTCCAGCCTGGGCGACAGAGCAAGACTCCGTCTCAAAAAAAAAAAAAAAAAAAGAAATGAAGGTAGAAACAGAACTTCTCGGAAAACAGAAGGTGAAGAAGAGCAAGAAACATGAGGGCACTTTGGGAGGACAAGGTGGGCAGATCATGAAGTCAAGAGATTGAGACCATCCTGGCCAACATGGTGAAACCTGATCTCTACGAAAAATACAAAAAATTAGCTGGGCGTGGTAGTGCACACCTGTAGTCCCAGTTACTCGGGAGGCTGAGGCAGGAGAATCACTTGAACCTAGGAGGCAGGGGTTGCAGTGAGCCAAGATCACGACACTGCACTACAGCCTGGTGACAGTGAAAACTCCCACTCCACAAAAAAAAAAAAAAAAAAAAAAAGAAAGAAAAATAAGAAGCATGAGGATGAAGCTGTTTTGAGGGTCACACATAAGTTTACATGCAGACCCACAGCAGGGCTGGGGAGGCAGCCACACAACAATGGATGATGCTGGTATTACATGGATGATCAGTATTACACACTGATTCCAATGGCAGCAGGGCCCCCGTGGATCTGTCTAAAGAATGATGGAGACTGGGCGCAGTGGCTCATGCCTGTAATCCCAGCACTTTGGGAGGCCAAGGCAGGCAGATCACCTGAGGTCAGGAGTTCGAGACCAGCCTGGCCAACATGGTGAAACCCCGTTTCTACTAAAAACACAAAAATTAGCTGGGCATGGTGGCAGGCGCCTGTAATCCCAGCTACTTGGGAGGCTGAGGCAGGAGAATCGTTTCAACCCGGGAGGCAGAGGTTGCAGTGAGCTGAGATTGCACCACTGCACTCCAGCCTGGGCAACAGGGCAAGACTCCATCTCAAAACAAAACAAAAGAAAACAAAAGAATGATGGATCTTGGCCAGTGTGATGGCTCATGCCTATAATCCCAGCACTTTGGGAGGCAGAGGCGGGCGGATCACCTGAGGTCAGAAGTTCAAGACTGGCCTGGCAAACACGGCAAAACCGTGTCTCTACTAAAAATACAAAATTAGCTGGGCATGGTGGCAGGCATCTGTAATTCCACCTACTCTGGAGGCTGAGGCAAGAGAATCGCTTGAACCCAGGAGGTGGAGGTTGGAGTGAGCCGAGATCGCACCACTGGACTCCAGCCTGGGCAACAGACGGATCTCGACTGGCATTCATTTCTCTTCCCTGGCCAGGGTGATGAGACAGATATCAGACAAAGGTGGCCCTTTATGGAGCACATACTAAGTGCCATGCACTATGCTAAGTGCTTTACATACACTATCCCATGTAGGCCTCACAGTGACTCTGGGAAATAGGTGCTACTAGCACTTTTTTTTGAGATGGAGTCTCGCTCTGTCGCCCAGGTTGGAGTTCAGGGGCGCGATCTCTGCTCACTGCAACCTCTGCCTCCCGGGTTCAAGCAATTCTCCTGCCTCAGCCTCCTGAGTAGCTGGGATTACAGGCATGCGCCACTACACCCAGCTAATTTTTTGTATTTTTATTAGAGATGGGGTTTCACCATGTTATCCAGGATGGTCTCGATCTCCTGACCTTATGATCCGCCTGCCTCGGCCTCCCAAAGTGCTGGGATTCCAGGGTGAGCCACTGCACCTGGCCAGCACTTTCATTTTACCGATGAGGAAACAGGCTCTGAAAAGCTGAAGAGTTTGCCCCATGTTACAAAGCTACTCAGGCAGCAGGGCCTAGACCGTCACCGGGTCTGCCTGATCATATGCATCAAACCCTGTGTCAAAGGAGAGGGTTGGAAATGGGCGTCCTTAAAGAGGCTGAGTGGGTGGCTTGACGCTTCCCTGTGCACATGGTTCGCCTTTAAACGGGGAGCAGGACTGCATCTTTCCTGTCTGCCCCGAGCCCTAGAGGACGGGAAGTGGGCTTGTGGCACAAGGGAACAGACCTAGGAAGGTCAGGAGGAAACACTTGCTGGGGGTGAAGATGCAGGCCCGTGAGAGGGCTGAGGCGCCAAAGTCCGTCTGTGGAGACTAAGGCGTTTCTCCCTGCGAGGGTGTAGGGAGTATCTTGTCCAGAGGGGTCTTCCATTTTAGTGGGAACCCAGGTAAGCAGACTGCGGCCATGACATCCTCTCCCTGAGAATAGGTGTTCTGAACTGAGAATCCACAGCCTCTCCAGGAATATCTGGATAAGGCTCAGGGAGACTCTGAAACGCTCAAATTGTGTGCAAGATCATGTATGTGTGGTGTCATTTGTAGATTCTCACTGGGGAAGCAGCTTTTCTCAGATGCTCTCAGAAGACCCTACCCCTGCCTTGGAGCCCAGGACAAGGGAGACTTTAGGCATCAAACTTGCTACCAGAATTTAGTGGTAGAGTAAAAAACGGGTAGAGCTAGAGAGAACAATGCAACTCTTCCTTAGCGTCCTGCTCAGCTCTGCTCTCTGCCCACAACCTCTCATGCCCTGGACAGCAACCCCCATCGTGGGAACCATGCTCCCCAGGCTGACTTCACCTGGATCTTTTCCTGGCGACGCTGCTGCTCAGCTATCTTCCTGGCCAGAGCCAGCTTCTTGGCCCGAAGTTCCCTGATGTCATCCTCGCCCCCGCTGCCTTCAGCCTCTGAGTCTTCCTCAAAGTCTTCGATCACCACATCCTCCTCCTTTGGGTGGTGGAGCCGACCAGGAGAAAGAGGAGACAGTTAGCTGAACCCATGGCACTTACTGAACCCGACATTGCCCTTGTGGTCCCTCACCCATGCAGACTGGGCCCATCCCTTGCAAAGGGTCCCCTGGTGTGTGCTTCCCTCTACTCAGGCAAAGGGAGGTAGACAGAAGCTGTCACTCTTCCCCTGGAGCTGCTCTCTTTTATACTCTGGGCCTCTTCCCTCAGAGAGTTACACCATAAGTCACTCACAATCACACATGTACACCTGCGTGCTTGTACTCACACTCTGTGTTCTCCCTCTATGGTAATTTACTGAACCCGACATTGCCCTCTCAGGGTCCCTCACCCATGGCAGACTGGGCCCATCCCTAAAGGGTCCTGGTGTGCTTCACTCAGCAAGGACAGCAGACAGTAGCTGTCACTCTTCTCCCCTGAGCTGCTCTCTTTATACTCTGGGCTCTTCAGAGAGTTACACTCCATAAAGTCACTTCCACAATCACACACGAAGCACCTGCGCGCTGTACTCCAAGCACTCCGTGTCTCCTCCTCATACTCACAAAGTTACACCATACGCCCGCAATCACACATGCACACCCGCGTGCTTGTACTCACCTGTGTTCTCTCGCACACACCAGAGAGTTGTCAATGTGACTCACACATAGGCACTCATGCGCTGTACTCACACCTGCAAGCCTCTCACGCACAGAGAGTTACAGTCTGTAAGTCACTCGCGAACTACACATGTACACCTGCGTGCTTGTAATTACACTGTGTTCTCCCTCGTACACACCCAGTTACACCATTGCGCCTTAATCACATACATGTACACCTGCGTGCTTGCACTCACCTGTGTTCTCCTGCACACACTGAGAGGTTACAACTAATAGGTCACCTGCAATCACAGCATGTACACTCCAAGGTTTGTATCACACCTGTGTTCCTCCTCAGCACAGCATAGAGAGCTAGCACCACAAGTCACCCGCAACTACATATGGCAATTGCGTGCTTGTACTCACACTCTGTGTTCTCCGTACACACTGAGAGCAACATTAGCCACCAGTAATCACACAATACCTGTGCGTGCTTGTATCACACTCTGTGTCTCCCTCAGACACAGAGAAAGTTAAGTACCATAAGTCACTGCATCATATAGATACCTGCTAGATTTATACCTGCGTGCTTGTACTCACACTCTGTGTTCTCCCTCGTACACACAAAGTCAAACTTTAGGTCTATTTTCATTCTGAAGTCACCAATGATTCAAGAGGGAAACAACAGAGAAAGTAAAACCACCCAATTTAAATCTAATTCATACTAACGATCTGATAGGAATCAACTCTAGCCAACAGCTGGGAATCAGGCGTGGAAGTTCCCTTGCCCCAGACAGCACCAGGGACAGATGCTGCAGCTCAGCAGACCTTGCCCTGGTTTCTTTTTAAGACTCCGGCCTGGTGGTGTGAGGATTGCTGGACCCTTTTACAGCAACTCACATGACATGACCTTGCTCAGCTGCCCTTCAGGGCCTGGGCAGGGTAGGAGGTGGCTGGCTGGCTTAAGGAGCCTCCTGCCAGGCTGGTGGTGCATTCCCCAGGGATGGCAGCTCCCTACTTGCAGCCTCAGCTCTTAGCAGCCATCACTCCCTGGGTGGTCCCAGGCTCCATTACTTGCTTTCTTACTTTTGGCCTTGGTCAACAGAGAACATGCAGCTGCCCAAGACAGCTTCCCTTGAGGGACAGGGTCAGCGTGGGTACATGGGGAATAATTTAGTAGAAGGTTCCTGTTTCTAACTGGATTATAATAATGACAATGATGACAACAGGTATCACTTACTCAGTGCTTATTATTGGCCAGGTACTGGGCTAAGCATTTTTCATGTATTAACTCAGTTAATCCTCACAACAGCCTGAGAGATAAGATATGTGCTATCACCATCTCTATCTTATACATGAACAAACTAAGGTTTAGAAGTCAACACCTTGCTCAGGGTCACACAGCAACTAAAGGCAGAGCAGGGATTCAAGCCCAAGTGAATCTGACTCCAAAGTTTATGCTCTTCCCAGTAATACTGAGCCAAGCCATCCTGAACCTAGACCATAAGCTCAGATCCAGCCCTTAGTGGCCCAGCATTGTTAGAGCTGCTGTAGGCCACCCTAGACCTGTTGAGTACAGACTGCTCTCTCCTCTAACTGTCCAGCTTGACTGACAGGGATTACTTAGGTGGGGGGCTGGGTAGATGACAGAGGTATACTTTGTCTTGGGAGCAGAATCTAGGGGTGTTTTGGTAACACCCCGAAGCAACTAAACTGTGTTCTATTCACAAAGAACAATGTCTGAAGAAACATCTTTCCCTACCTCTCCCAATCTGCTGAAGTGATTCAGTTTCGCAGTTTGGGGAGAGATGAGATCTGAGGATGAGGCCAGAACTGTCACTATCCTAAGAGATGTCAGGGGTCTGGGATGTCGTCCACAGTCACCATTCATCTGACACAGGCATGCTACAGCGCCACAGAGCTCACATCCAGAGAGGCCCAGACCATGGAAAGGAGGAAAACTGCGCATTCACTTCCTTGTTCATGGGGTTAACCCAGGCTGCAGTGAGTGGGACAGAATGCCTGCCTAGCCCGTGGGGAAACATTGCCTCTGCCTGCTCTGACTAGGGATATACAAGGTTATCACGGGGCTTGAAGTGAGCTTGACGGAGGTCAAAAGAGGGTCAGAGAGGCTTGTCTGAGGTTCGCTCAGCTCTCACAGTAAACGAGGAAGTGCAAGGTTATGAAATTACACAGACCAGGGTAAGTAGAGTTTCCCAGAGGCCACTAACATGAAGGAGCCCAGGAGACTCGTGGGAAAAGGAAGAAGTGGGCAGCCGGCGTGGGTCACAACCTTTGTCTGGTCAATAAGCCTTAGAATGAGAAAAAAAAAGTCTGGCACTACCAAGATCTGGGACCAGAGAAGTGATCTGTTCCTTGTGAGAGCAGAGAAGGCCTTCTCTGGCTTCGATGCTGTGGCCCTCTCTGGGCCCCACTTGCCTCACTGTATTTGGGACTGCAGGCTCCACTGGCCAGAGGGCATCTTGGGGCAAGCCTGGGACTAACTTGGCTCTGCCTTCAGCCTTCAAGTGCGGGTGAAATAGCTGATGGAGGCACTGCCCACTGGTGCTTCCCCACACAGTGCCCAGGGCTTGGGTGGCACTTGCTCTGCCCTGCCTGAAGCCTGGACACCCTGCCAGCTCAGCAAGCCTGCTGTCCCCTCCCATGCTAACAGCTCATTCTTTCCCATTATTCTCTGCCCAGGTTTCATCTGGAGAGTCTGGAATCCCAGGCTCAGCTTTATCCCTGGAACTACCTCTGTCCTGGAAGCTGAGTTCTATGTCACCAGGGGTGGGGTGGGGCTCTCCAGTTATTCTAATGAAGCCAGTCCAAGACTCTGCTGCTCTCCGTCTCTGATCCAAAGGTGGCTGCTCTATCACTGTTTCAGATCACAAACGACAGCTTCCAGCTGACATCTGGCTTCCTTGGCCTGTTGCTGATTTCATCCCTGTACCCCGCCCTGCTCTACCGGGCGCTTGAGACTGCTGCGGGCCAAATGACTGTGTTGGCCTATGGGTGACCTGGCCCCTGGCTAGAATCACTTCCGTCCCTTCCCTTAGTCCCATGTTCCTTCCCACCTAAGTCTCCTGTCTTTAACACTGTGTGGTAAAAAGAGTCAACCTTCAGGCAAAAGTGAGGTGTGTGTGAACACACACCCAGACAGAATTACCCACACCCAGACACACAGCGGGGCAGCTGGCAGTGATACTAAATGCATACATGCTCCAACAACATCACACTCACATCCACTCAGAACCCACAGACAGCAGGGAAGCTGGCAGCAGTGTTTACTCAAACTGACACACAAACCCACATCAACAATCACCCCCAGAAAGATACATATATGCAATAGCAATATATAGGGCAGGGCAACTGCCAGTGGAGTTTTGCAGGGGCGGGTACACAGGCTCATGCATGTGCGCGCGCACACACACACACACAGACACACACAACGAGTCTGGAGTGAAGCAAGGGCTACAGGAACAACCAAGGGCAAACAAACAAGAGGAGAATTCCTTAATCACATCAGGATGTGCAGGAGGGAGGGAGGGAACAAGGGAGGGAGGGCAGGCCGGGGGAGGGGTGATTTTCCACACAGGGCCAGCAATGTCAGCTCTTCCTGTACGTGTGCTGCAGGCTGGAGTTCAGGCCTGTGCTGCACTGGGCTCCACACATCTATAAACTTGATCCTGACCCCTCCTCTCTCTCCCTTTCCTAAGCCTCGAGAGCTGCACATTATTCAACTCCTTCTTTCTTTCTTTTCCTCCCTTCTCAATGCAGCATTAAAAGAAGCATCTGGAACTCGTAGCGGAGTGGGATGGAGGCACCGGGGTGGACTGGCCGGAAGGGGCACCAGGAGAGCACACTCTCAAGAAGGTGGCTGGTCATATTAACACAGACACTGCTCTCTGTGCTCATAAATAAGCAGGAGTAGAAGCCGAAGCCACGGGTAGAATGGGGAGGGGGCCTTCCCTCTGCCACAGCGGGCTCTTCCTGCATAGTACCTCATCTTCCAGTCGTGTTCCCTCTTGGCTTCCCATTTCCTTTCCCATGGTGTCTGGGACGGGTGCCACTGACACATACTTTCCACCCTTGAATGCCAGCAGAGGCTCTTCTTGTCCACAAAGGGCTTCCAGAAAATACTTCAGCACTGTGACCCTTTTGCAGTCAGCTGCAATAACCTACAGGGTGAGAGGGAGAGAAGAAAAACAGTGTTTTCTGAAAGAGAAGATGGAGACGAGATGTTGCTTGCGGGCTGAGGGGCACAGGGGAATTGTGTCAAAGCTACCAGGCAAGGGGGTCAGAATGAATGACAGGGTGTGGAGGGCACCAGGGCATGTCAGGTGGTAAGTGAGGGCCCAAGGCAGGTCGAGGACCAAGACTGTCTGAGGGAAGGAAGGTCCCACAGTCTCTCCTTAGGTTATCTCTGGGGACGCAGACAACCCCAGGGACCAGTGACAGGTGCCTTACATTTATTTGACCAAAGTCCTGATACAAAACAGAATACATGACATTCTTCTAAGTCTGGTCTAGAATCAGCAGAGGGAAGAGTGGAGTACTTTCACAGCATAGAGCTTTCTGGGGCCCCTCGCTGCCACTCTCCACGCCTCTCTCAGCACCCCTGCTCCAGACTCCCAAAAGGAGAATTTTCAGCCCAAGTGCAAAATGAATGCTAAGGGCTTTCTTGGCTGTTTCATTTCAACCAGATCATTTTGGACTTCCCCTGACAGGTTCCTGCCCTATCTAAGAGCTCCTCATGCTCGAGAGACTGGAGTCAGGCAGGAAATTGTCAGGAGAGACAGGTGGAGATGTTTCACCAAAGCTCTGCTCTTTCTGACGTTTACGCCAAGCTGCTCCCACGTGGCCATGTGAGCACACAAGTCAGTGCTGTCAGAGAAGCCTGGGCTGATTTAGCTGAGATGAAACTCAGTATCTTGAGCAACAGTCAAATGTGTAAGGGTCTCAGATGAAGGGTCCACCGTCCCCCAGTCTGGCCCCTTCTGGAGGCACCACACACGCACGCCCTCTCCTGCACACCCGTCTGCTTGGCTTGCACTCTCCTCCATGCTTGCCCCTTTGTGCCCTTCTCTTCATCTCTAGCCTCCAGCATCCTCTTCTCCCTGTTGGCTGAGTGCTCAGCAAGGGAGAGGGGCCCTGCTGGATCTGGAGCTTGAAAGCTGAAGGCCATTCCACATGGGAACCACCCATCAGTGGCCAGATGTGCCACACGGGACGGCCCCTTCATCCTCATTGACTAGCCCCGGCCTCTCTTTTAATGCATCCTCATTTCTTAACGTGAAAGGAACTTCACATTAAGAAGTCCCTTCTGGCCGGGCGCAGTGGCTCAAGCCTGTAATCCCAGCACTTTGGGAGGCCGAGACGGGCGGATCACGAGGTCAGGAGATCAAGACCATCCTGGCTAACACGGTGAAACCCCGTCTCTACTAAAAAATACAAAAAACTAGCCGGGCGAGGTGGCGGGCGCCTGTAGTCCCAGCTACTCAGGAGGCTGAGGCAGGAGAATGGCGTGAACTCGGGAGCCAGAGCTTGCAGTGAGCTGAGATCCGGCCACTGCACTCCAGCCTGGGCGACAGAGCGAGACTCTGTCAAAAAAAAAAAAAAAAGAAGTCCCTTCTATCTGCAGCACACAGGGAGGTACTAATCTGGAGACAACTGATCATCATTTTACAGGTGCAGGTGTTCTCTTTCTCATGTGGACAGCAACCCATCTGGTGGCAAAGCCGCCTAAATCTCATCGTTTTTGTACGTCACTGGCAAGAATTGTAAGGACAAGCTGTGCACACAGTAGACTCACAGTAAAGACAGACAGCACAGGGAAGCTCAGCTGGGTACCACAGACAGCAGATGAAGCAGGCATGACCCATGTTCTCTAAGACAGTGGAAATAAATGAGCACCGCTCTGCAGGCTGGCTGCCCAGGCAAGTGCGGCACACGCCAGCCAACTGTGACACACGCCAGTCAACTGTGTGCTCCATGGCTGCATCCTCTGCCACCTTCACCAAAAGCCAACCCCGCTTTCCTACCCCGTCTAGGGGTGTTCTCTGCTTTCTCTCACCATTGGCCCTGTTACCATTATAGGCTGGAATCTCAAGCTAAGTACTTTGACCACCTTCACCTGAGAGGTTGACATAAAAGGTTCTCGGCCTCCCAGAAGGGCATAGAAAAAGTTCGGCCCCTTGAGCTTGGGGTGCCTGGTCCTGGGCTTACCTCCGTGGAGGAGAAGGAAAGCTTGTTTTGGCCCAGGGCAGGTAACCATGGGTTCATTGCGTGTGTTCAAACATGTGATGAGGAAGGCTAGAAATACAGAAGCAGGGGCTAAAAGGCATTAAAGAACAGAGCCGAAATGAGTAATAGCCTGGCAGGCAGCACGCACAGTGGCTCCCTGCATCTCCAGCCTCTCACTTGCATAGGAAACTTCTGCATTTCCACAAGACTGCCAGTTTCCTCTCTGTGGTCTAATTTTAACCACCTTGTCGTTACAGTGTGTGTCAGCCACCTGACCCCACTACGACCTCTGACCTTATGCCCCAGCTACTGCTTGCACTATGGAGAATTATGTAACGGGTCCAGGACTTTCCTTTTTGGTGTGAGGCTGCTGCCACTGAATGGAGCGGAGAGGGGAGCTAAGGGGTGAGAAGAGGACAGAGGAAAAGCTTACAATGGTCCTTGGCCTCACCTGGACGATGAGAGGTACAATGGCACCCCTGCTAAGTGCGCAGAGGAAACCTGCCCAGGACAGGAGTGTGCCACAGGGGCATGCACAGACAGGCGGGCAGGAGCGCTGCTGCCGCTGGAGCATGGGCTACGTGGTACGCTGAGTGGCTAAGAAAGCGTGGTTCCCGGCCGAGAGGGAGAAAAGCCACATGTGTGGACGTGGGACTCCTGGAGATGGGGATTTCCAGGGCACAGCAGGACCCAGGGATGTGGACATCCTGAGGCCGCCTGCAGCACATCCTTACAGGGTCAGTGGGAATTGTCTATTCCACGGACACACAAGCAACGAGGAGTAGCCCTCTCCTGGTTTTCACTTCCACCCATTCAGAAGGAAGTTGGTTTCCTTGGGGACTGTGTCTGCCATAGCCATTAGTTCCTCCTCTAGGACAAGGACACTTCTGGCTGATATGCAAAAGGCTGTGATCCACTGGGGTCTCTGACCTCGTGTTAACAGGCCTGAAAAGGATTCTACCTGCTTGGAGAGAGCAAGGTTGTCTGTCTTAGAAAAGTGTCCTCTGTCCTTTGCAATCCAAGCAGCAGGGAGGATGGTCAAAGCTGTGTCAAGTGTACTGTGGGAGTGAGAAGGGCGAAGTTTGAGCTCTTTAGGAGATGGAGAAACTGAGAGGCAGAACGTCCAGGGCTTGCCCAGAGGCACAGAGAAACCTGTCTGTAGCTCACTGGCCTGTCTGCCTAACGTGGGGGACAGGCCCACTGGGAAGAGGACCACAGCTCTCCTGACGCTGCGGTTCTGTAGGAGACTTACAGGAATATTCTCCTAGACAAAGCCTCCAGCACTTGAGTCAGGGGAAGAACAACACAGAACAGTTTAAACATGGTTAATAAGAGACTTCACAATGGAAGAAGCCTTTCAAATCACCGCCTAGGCCGATTCCAAGATGAGCTTTGCTTGGTCTAGGAGGACTTCCTGGTAAGACAGGGGTTAAAGCTGGACTCCCTGCTTGGAGAGGAAGGACTCCAGATGAAGTCTGTGACATCATCCCACAGTAACTCTGCTCGTGAGCACATTTTTCCACTCTGTATCAATGAAAAACAGAGAATGTAAGTGGCATGTGTATCGCAGCTCTGGGGGCAAACTCTGGATTCTCCAGAGGAGAAAGAGCTGGGTGGGAGAGGCTCCCTTCCTGGGCTACATTAACACGTGGGGCTGGACTGGGGCTAGCGGCGACTAAAAGGGCTGCCAGCCAGGGAACACCCTGGGGAGGCCACGGACCTCTGCGGTGTACCTTCTCAGTCACAGTCCTGGCCTCTCTGGAGGGAGATTCACTGTGTAGGCGACTGTCAAGAATTCCCAAGTTAATTGACAAAATATCAGACACAAATCATTTCAATCAGCTTGGGAAAGAAAACTGGGGCTTTAGGTCAGGGAAGAGCTGAAAGAAAGCCCCTTTCCCTTCCCCTGAAGACTGCCGGAGGCAGCTTACCACGGCAGCAGGAACTGAAACCTTTAGCTTCAGGGCTCCAGTTATCACTCTAATCAAGTCCACACGCAAAGCACCAAGCAGAAAGGAAAACTGAAAGTGAGATGTGGAGAGGTGCACAGGAGGCTGTCTTCTCCTAGGCTCAGTTCCTTAGAGAGAGAGAATGTAAGCATGGGCTAAGTAGAGGCTGGAGCTAAGGGGAGCGAGGAACAAAGGAGAAAACCTCTAGGTCAAGAGAGAAGACCGGGTTACTGTTCTGGGGTATTTAAGGTGGAAAGGTGGAGAAGTAAAGAAAAACGGCATTTCTTGGCTGGGCACAGTAGCTCACGAATGTAATCTCTGGGAGGCCAAAGTGGGCAGATCACCTGAAGTCAGGAGTTCAAGACCAGTGTGGCCAACATGGTGAAACCCCATCTCTACTAAAAACACAAAAATTAGCCAGGTGTGGTAGCACGCGCCTGTAGTCCCAGCTACTAGGGAGGCTGAGGCAGGAGAATCACTTGAATCTGGGAGGTGGAGGTTGCAGTGAGCCGAGATTGTACCACTGCACTCCAGCCTGGGCAACAAAGCGAGGCTATGTCTCCAAAAAAAAAAAAAAAAAAAAAAAGAAAGAAATAAAAAAGAAAGAAAAATGGTGTTCTCTGAAAACTGGTGACTCTTCACAGCTACTCAGCAGGGAACAAGCACAGTGTGGACAGAGATGCCTGGGGTGGGGGAGCGGGTTGGGGAGAGAAAACGAGCTATATGTTCTTTAGGTGAGACAGAGAATGGGAATTAAGCACCAGGTATCACATACTGATGAGCAAGGAGCTGCAAGACTTAACGCCACAGGGAAGGGAGAAAACCTCCAAATCCAGCCAGGGAATATGAGGAAGGCCTGGAGAGCCAGGACCCTGCATGCAAGCTCTAGGAAGTGAGGGACTCGCTCTGTCGTTACCTGGTCCCCGTTTTCTCCAAACAGCCCTCTTGGAAGGCACAACCATGGTTACTAGTCATTCTGCAAAATT